TTCCCAAGATCGAGGCAACTCAGAACCTCGAGCCCCCTACAGATTCTTAAATGTGAATCAATGGATCCTCCATACTTTTGGGGGTCAGACTACGAGAGAACCTAGGGTTTGAATGGATGCTAAATGGTAGGCTTTTGCTTTGATCCTAGCAGGTAGTAATTGCTCTTTGCGTCAGAATGTCACGTATTTGCACATGCAACTTTAACTTGTGGATAGCCACACTGGGGCATTGATATATGAAGCTATGAGATTGAAAGTCGTCAACTCTTCAACAGAGCTGTACATGTAGCTATAATGCGATTGCCAATCTTACTTGCAGCCCACCTCGAGCAAGCACTTAAATCAAGACAAGAGGCATGGATTTTGCGTATCTGCTGTGATCACGGGAAAAATGACAGTTCATGAGATGAAAAGTTGTGTGTAAAAGATACCTAGTAATTCCTTGTGACGGATGTAACCAAATTCCAGGGCATTCTGTCCTTTTGAATTAGCTCTTCCGAATCCCATATCAAATCAACGATCCAAATCAATCAATCAAGATCCGAATCGGATTTGCGTCTGCGTGTGTCGGTCGGCCCAACGGCATCTGCGGATATCCAAGACAGGCTTGCAGCTGCAAGAGAGGGAGGCGATGCTCCGCTATTGGCTGGGAGGAAGTCCCGGGTCGACCTCCCCGTTGCCGTGGGGTGGGGGGAGGGGATGATGGCCGGCGGAAGGACCAAACGTCCGGTAAATCTGGCTGATGAGACTGACGTTTGCTGCGCATAAGTCATCGTTGATTCCGTCTTATTTCGCCGGGCTGGTGGCCATGGGAATGGATGTTGGGATGAGCAGTAATGCGCTTGATGAGATAGGCGACCAGGATATCCAAGTAATAATGATCCTATTTTACCTGCCTGCAAAAAGGACTACTCTTCAACCGATATTTGGTTGGTGGCCTGCATTGGAGTAGAGCGTTTGAGTACACCCGCCCATGCATAAGGTGCCTTTTTGAGACCTTCGACACTTAGAGAGAAAGAGGGGGCGTTCTCCGATTTTCTCCTCATGCGAACGGCGGCGAGGGTGGCTGTCTCCGTTTCTGCTTACATGGACATGGACAGTCAGTCAGCCAGTCTTGGGTTGTGCCACTGCAGCCAGCCAACTGGAAGAGCCGCGCGAACACGGCGAGCTCTAGAACCTGAATGGGAGGAGAGCTGCTGCAGTGCCTGTGGATGCCGGGGAAGTGTCTCGGTCACTTCCTGCTCGGGTCTTTGCTAGACCCTTTCAGATGGACTAACAGCCCCCCCGAAGACGGACACTCCCTGGTCGGATCAGCACGTTAGGCACGCTAAAAAGTTGTTGGCAACTTCGATTATTCAGGGCGTCACGATTGGCTCTGTCATCGTGATCATGTTGTCTGCACCACCTACCCAAGACCCAAGACCCAAGACCAAAGCTAAACCCTACAGAGCCTGCCTGGATACTGTGCTCTACCTATTACCCTCAGGGAGGTTCGTGCCTCCTCTGACTTATAACCGAGAGCCGTCCATCGGATGAGGAGAATGTCATACCAGAAAAGGGGAAGAAGATAGGCGAGTAGGATATAGGATATAGGATAGAGGATACACCTACAGACTGAGTCATCCCTCAAGTCTATCGTCAAGGCAGCAGAGCACCACATGTACCTAGGTAGGCTTCGATTGTTCCAAGGGCAATGCATTGAATGAGAGGTTTCTTTGGCCAAGACTTTGGCTTAGCTAAGGCAGAAGAGGTCGGCTTCTCGCGGTTATTATTATGGTGGAAGACGAGCCATTTCTGTGTTGTTTTCTATTTCCCGCCTGCGTGTGCATATGATTGTGACGATTGTGATGATTGTGATGATGAGCTGGCCCGCAGCAGGCAGGGCATGTCAGGTCAGGTCGAGTGATGACAGGGCACTTCAAGGTTGTGATGTTTTATGGCTGATGTGGTTGCAGGGCAAGGATTCGTGGAGAGATGCACTTGCAAAGCGTGGACTGTGCGCACTGCAGGAAGGAGCAGCTGTGAAGCAACACCAGCAACTCCGAAGAGCCAGTGGCTTCCTTGTGTTGCGTCTCTCTCTTTCTTTCTTGAGGGTGGAAGTGACCCCATTGCATTCTACCTAACCTACCTGGATACCTGCCTAGGTACCTACAGTACCGGTCACTATGCCTGAAAGTGCCTAACCAATTCCCATCAATGCAGTAATGCAGTGCCTGTACAGTGAGCCTACTGTCCTTACAGAAGCTATCTTTCTCCCAATTCAGGCCTCTTAGCGGTGTTTTAGTGGGCAAACCCAGACACATGCACAAACACACACACACACACACACAGGCGGAGGTTGTCCGGGATCCATCCATCATTCAATTGAGTCTTCCCTGCCAGCCATCACCCACCCGCCTTGCCTTGCCTTAACTTGACTTGACTGACCTCACTTAGCCTGTGAGTGAGCGGGCAGGTGGATTCCCCCCCAATCTCTCTCTCCCATTCTCTCACTGCCTACCCGACCCGGACCTCAACATCATCAACAGCTACCTCCTACCTCCACCTCCACCACCACCATCATCCGCCAACGCCGCCTCCTCTCTCTCTCCCTCTTGTGCCTGGCCTGAATCCCCTCTGCCAGCAGGAACTCAAAGCGTTAATTCGCCTTTGATTCTCATCTCATCTCTTCACCAGCCAGTGCCCGCCGTTTTTCTGCCGCCTCTGCAGCAGCCTGCTGGTTCTTTTTTCTTAATAATACCTTCCTTTCGAGTTTTGGAAAAAGTTCGCCCTTAGGTTCAGTTTTGCCGCTCTTGCTACCTACCCAGTCCAGCACCTTCTACCATACCACAATTTGCTACCGCAGGGCGGTCATTTCGCTTTTCCCACCGAGCCCGACCCGATAAGCCTTTTGCTCTCGCATGATTCATTTGTGAACGGCGCCCATTGCAGCATAGGCCCGACGCCGCTGCTGCTGCTGCTTTGTTCATCTGATCTCCTCTCTTCCGCTACTACCACCCACGCCCGACAACATGGCTGCTCTTCCACGTCGCAGAAAGGCCTTCGGTCATCGTCGGCGGGTCGAGGATGAGGGCGAGGACGAGGGCGGACCCGAGGCGCTCGATGTCGATGACGATTCCCTGACTGAGGGCTCTGTCATCAGCGACGACAATGATGCTGCCGATGATAGTGATACTAGCAATGTCGACGAGGCGTCTCCCACATCGCCCAACATCAGCAAGGCAGCGGCAAACGGAGCTCCAAAGTCCGGAGGTCGCCATCAGAATGGAGGTGCTAGTTCTGCCGCTGCACAACCCTCTCAATCGACGATAACCGACACCGAACTCATGCTGAACGGCCTGCACATCTCCAACCAACCGGGCTCCACGGAGGAGCTACAGTTTGATGACGCCGTCAGATCACCATCGAAGGCCGCCGCTCCAATCGTCGTGAGCTCCAGTTCAGCTCCACAGCCACAAGATGGACCGCCGTTTGAGCGTCGCCGTCGCGAGCACGAGGAATACAGGAAGAAGAGGGACGAGGATCCGGCCTTCGTGCCCAACCGTGGGGCCTTCTTCATGCACGACCATCGGCATGCCGGGCCTTCTGCCAACGGCTTCCGTCCGTTTGGCAGAGCTCGGCGTGGAGGTCGAGGTGGCATGGGAGGGCCCTTCGCGCCCATCAAGTATGTATCATCTCCATCTCGTGCATGCTCCCATCATGACGCAGCTAACGCTATGGTCAGCCAATTTCACAACTCGACGGATCCCACCACAAACGCCCCCTGGGCCCACGACATGCACGAAGCCGTCGCGGAACCGGTACCATCTCGGCCGACTCGACACATCAACCACATCAACAATGAGGGAATCGCAAATGGCGACGGGCACATCCCCACATGCCCGCCCAGTTCAACCCCTATCAATAGAACTTTGTCGACTGAGAAACTGCTTGGCAATGCACAAGTACGAGTGTATTTCCCGCCGTTGAAGACACCGATCATCTTCTCCGGCGTGCCGGTGAAGCAGTACACCAAGCTACCTGATCATCGACCTCCCCTCCGACGAGACAAGCCTGTGCGGATTTCCCTGCCCGATCATCCACCTCGCTACATCTTCCCTGCTGTTGATCGGTCATTCATCTTCATCCCTCGCGCAATGCGACCGAATCAACAACGGATGCGAGGCAAACCCCGTTCTGGGCTCGGATCTGTCTCAGGATTTTCTCGACGCACTAGTGTTTTTGGCGGCAGTTATTACGGCAGTGCCTACTCTCCGAGCATTGCTCTAAGTCGACGGTCATCAATAGCACCCGAGATGGGCCGCGACTTTCTTGTATCTCCGACCGGCTCTGCGATCTCACGAGGTGCTTTCCCTCTCGATGCATCACGACCCATCGTCAGACTTCCTCCTCTGGCGCGACCGGAGCAATCTGCCCCTATCCCTTTTGCCGCTCCAGCCTCTGATGCTGCTGGTGGGATGACAGATAGGTCTCCGGCCCTCGGGGAGTCGTCTATTAACGACCTTCCTCCTCCCCAGACACATCCTCTGCCGCAGAAGCCTACCTTCCAAGAGAACCGACCCAGCTCCATAGTCATGCATCAGCCTCGACCTCAAAAGACTGTCTCTGTTGAGAACATCGAATCGCCAACAATGCAAATGACTTCATCGCAACCTTATCAACAGGCTTTCCACCAGCAGGTCCCGGTTCAGGTTTCGAATGGTTTCCCGCACGAGACGCATGCTCGACATCCATCATACCCGTCTCAGCATTCTACGGGCACTCCTCTATCTCAGATCCCGGAGCGAGCTATCCATGCTGCTCCCTTCCAACCGAATGCGTACCCGCAGCAGGGTTACTACGGACAGCCATATCAGATGATACAGCCGCAACAGGGATACTACTATCCATCCGGGTTCGGTAACAACATGGGTCCTTCTGCCACAGCTCCAGCCTTTGTTCCAGGAGCTCAGCAGTCTCAGCCTGCGAATTTCTCACAGCCAGGTCAAGGAGACGGTCCCAGCGCTCAAGCAAATGGACAGGCACCCAATGGACAGAACTTGGTGGCCCAGGAAGTGAACGGCATGGTCTATTATTATGATGCGACTCAAATGCCGACGGTACAAGGATACCAATCATTCCCAGGATCCCAGAACTTTGTTCCTGGCGTCGTCGGCATGGGAGGCATGGTGACACCGAGTCCTGATGGATTTTACTACCCCCAGCAAGCTCCTCCCATGATGTACTACTCTCAATAGGGTCCTGCGTTGCCTTGGTCATGTTCATTTCCACGATTACCGTCACATTTATCTTACTCACTTTAATTCGCAACACCTTGAACATGAACACACCCTCGCATCACTTAGCATCCTACACATTCTTCGATTTTGAGGCTCTTATCTTATTTCACTAGGCGGAACAGGGTAGTTTGGGGCAGGGGCCGGTTTTTTGTGCAATTCTGCTACTCTCGGGGTGCGGGTTGGCTTAGGTTCTTCTTCGCTACTACCACCTCTTTGTAGGATTGCGAGCTCATTACTATCGCTGGAAGGGCGCTTCGAGGAAAAAGCAGATGATGGAGAAAAAGTATTTTGGGCTTTTAGTGGTTGTGGCAGGCAGATGGAGGATGGCATGGCAGACAAAGTAGGGCAGCACTTGTTCAGAGAGATGGCCTGCTCCGTGGACCTTTATACCACCTAACCTCACCTGGCATTACCCACACCTTTCTTGCAGCAAATCCCAGATTTTTCCCCGTCCGCATCATCTCTTCTTGTTTGGCGTTGATTGTATACTGAATTGTTTTGGGAAGGATATCCCCTGCCTGGGCGTTTCGGGAGTCTCAATAGCATTTGGTATCTAGTGAACGGGTTCGAGCGTTTGCTTTTGCTCTTGGCGTGGGTTGATCAAGGGCCCTCTTCCTCCTTTGGCGATGCAGCCTCACCTTTATGATTCTGTGGGCTTTGTGATGTTCTGTTTTCCCAGCTGCCTTTCCTTTGCTCATACTGACTGACTACTGATTACCTCACATTCCCTATGTCGAGCTACCACTGCACTTCCTGAATGTTTGCATTATGTCTGAGAAGAAAAAGCAGATGTTGGGCATGCTACGGGACAAGGTCGTTCATTCTAGAGTGTCTCCTTCATAAAGACTTCCGGGACTCTTTTGTTTCATGGCGGATCCTGAGGAGCGATTCCTGGGACGGGGTCATACTTACTCGCTTCTCTTATTTTTTCGAGTTTGTAGACGTGGTTAGAAGAGGTTATCGCTTACTAATACAGAGGACTTCTTTTGTATAATCACTGCCATAAAAACTCTGTCCGTGACTTGATGGGATGTACACCTCCGCCGGGGTAACAAACGTTATTTTAGCAAGGTGA